ACCTTTCCAATGAAAAAATAATAAAAATAAATCTTTAAAAAAAAAAGTATCAACTTTATTTCTCAACATAATTCCCATTGAGTTCATGACACTTTTAAGCAATGATGTCAGCCACTTAGTTCTTCACTGAAGAACTGAACATTTTAGAAATTTAACCATGTCAGTACAGTCTTTTTTACATCATGAAGTGAAAAACAATGGCTGCCCTTTAGCCATGAGATGGAATGAAAGCATGTCTTTTGCAACTAAATGGATGCAATGGACAATGATTATGCTTGGTGAATGGATCTATCCCAAAAAAGACAAAGTTGTATTTCATTTCCAGTGTTTAGAAAAAGAAATCCTAATGATCTTGGATCCACTAAATTTCGATTTCCCCTGAAAGGTCTATCCTGGCTGCAACTTGTCTAGGTAAGATAGTTTGGTATACATTAGGCAGAAAGTTTGTTCTGCTTAAATTTTTCAGTTAAATTATGTCAAATTAATTTATTAAGATGTCAGTCATATTACCTATTGTTTCTGTTGTTAATTGTCAGCCTCTTCAATTAGAGCAGGAACAATATTGAATTTTCTTCTGCAAAATTAATGTGAACTTCAGGCTTTGTTTGGGACATCCATCTTATTCCTTCCTAAAGTGAGGCATCCGGTTATAAGCAGGTGATTTCTTTGCACTGTTCCAATTCTTACATAAAGAATGCAGTTTTATAAAATTTTGTTTTATATTTTGTCAAATCAATGGTTAAGAATCTTATATTAATATAGTTTTACTGACCTTTGAGTGCTTTAAAATTTATTGTAGATGATGAAATGGTCATTTTTTTCCTTTTGATTATTGTTTATAGTCATTTCTTGTATTCCCATTAAGCTAAGATCTTTTTTGTTTTTGACTTACTAAACTTATTATTTGTTGAAGGATTAAGGATTTTTTAACTGTAATGTAAATTTAATATATGTTATTAAAATTTTTTTTGAAGGGCAAGGAAAGGAGAAGGAGGGAGAGTTGGGGAGGGAGAAGGAAAGAGGAATGTTAGGTTTTGAAAACTATCATAAATCACATTAAATTCCTTAAACTAAAAATAATTTACAAGAAAATACTGAATGGAAGGTAAGTTTAGCCTGAACATTTCAATCTAAATCTATTTCTGAAGTCCTTGTTTTTGTTACAAAGATACCAATTTAAAAATCTTGGTTTGGGGTCTGACACAATAACGTAGTGGCTAAATTCTCACCTTGCATGTGCCAGGATCCCACAGGGCTCATCGTTTGTGTCCTGGCTGCTCCTCTTCCCATCCAGCTCCCTGCTTGTGGCCTAGGAAAGTGGCAATGAATGGTCCAAAGCCTTGGGACTTCTACTGACATGAGAAACTTGGAGGAAGTTCCTGGCTCCTCCTGTCAATTCAGCTTAGCTCCAGCTATTGTGACCACTTATGGGATCCTGGTGCATGGAAGGCAAGGACGTTAGCCATTAGGGTACTACACTGAGCCCTCTTCAAGTTTCTTAGTAAGAGAAGTCACTCTGCAAAGTCCAAAGCTATGGGAGGAAGCATTAGGGTCAGTGGGGTGGCAGAGGGAATGATGGAAAAATATGAGCTTGGGACATGGTGTGATTTTCATAGAAAGAACCAGGCAGGATAGAAGAACAAGTCATAGTGTTGGTTATCTGGTAGAATTTAAGTAGTCTCAGAGGGTTACGGCTTGGGCCTCATTGTCTGGTGTCTAATGTTGGCGAGTTAGAGCAAGGGAATGGTGATCTTGCATATGGGAGCAGAATAGAGTTAGAAGGTGGTTGGGAGATAGGCTGTGAATTAGGTTACCTGTGAAGTAAAGTGTGCCCTTTGGCAAGCTGTTCTGATCTGGAGGAATTGGATAGCTCTCTTCACTCTGGGAAAGATGGTTTCTCCAGGATCAGCAAGAATCTGGATGTCAAAGTATCAGAAACATGGAATGGGAAAAGGCATGACTAAATCAATCTAGTCCAAAGTCATCTAACTGTGATTATCTTATATTCTGCATTCATTCACCCAAGATGCCAGGCAATGTTTCAGACACTAAGACATAGGTAATACTAAACTCTTCCTTTGAAAGAGAGCTAGTGTATAGGGTAAGTAGCAGACATAAATGTAATGACTGTAAAGCAACTTGATCAGTGTACAATAGAGCAAGAACAGGAAATATTAGTATCTTGCCCCACTGTCATCTTGTCCTGTCAGCTTTCTCTATTCCTACCCTTTTCCCTCTCCTGCTTATGCCCTCAAACTCATTTCCCTTCAACCATTCTTATTTTGTTCCCTATATTAAAATAATTTCCTATGGATTCCAGTCCAGTAAAAATATAAACACCTCTCTGTTACCCTAATTCTTCCATATTCTACCCTTAAACTTTTCTGCAATTTAACACCCAGCTTCTCTGTGACCAGTGTATGTCTGAAACAAATAAATGCAGATGCAAATGTAATGTGATGTAATGTAAGCATGCCTTCATGGTGCATTCATGCCATGTTTATTCACTGGCCCTTATTAGCACCCCCTGATGTTCCCATTACGAAGACAGTCTAGTTCTTTAAGATCATACATGTCTGCGTCTTCCTATCTTCATGTCTTTACTCATTGCCACATCTTTTTTCAGAAGCACTTTATTGAGTAAAAGCAATAAAACTTCAAAGCATAAATGCGTAGAATTGTTAGGCTATTGGCTTTGGAATTTGGAAAGAAATGTGAAGGACTATCTCCCCAAAGCAATCGTTCCAAGAGCTTTTAGTCCAAACCCAGTTTTAACCCCTATTAGCATTTGTTTCTGAAGGAAAATTGTGTTGTTTTTAAAAAGTGTATTATTATTTGAAAGGCAGAGCAACAGAGGAGAAAGAGAGAGAGAGAGGGAGAGAGAGGGAGAGAGAGGGAGAGAGAGAGAGAGGGAGGGAGAGAGGGAGGAAGAGAGAGAGAGAGAGATTGTCCAGGTTTTCATCACTAGGCTCACCAGGGCTAGGGCAGGCCTAGCCAAAAGTCTGAAGCTTTACTCAACACCCCCTCCCACACTCCAGACACACAGAGAGAGACACATGGCTTGCTGCGTTCCGTCTACTTCAGCCATTACCTGCTACTGTCAGGGTGCATATTAGCAAGAGGTTGTATTGCAATATCTCTGCTTCCTTCTTCAGTTCCAAACTGCCTGCTATTGGTTGCCTTCCTCAACCATATATTCAGTCTCAAATAATTGATCTGTTACCATGAGTTACTATGTAATATACATAATGTGTGATATTTCCTATTTCTAACTACAGCACCAGAGCATAGGCAAGTATCTGGCATGTTAGGGATTTGATCAACATTAAATAATTGCATTCATTCATGCAACACCAAGGCTAGGTTTTAAGCTTCCTCTTGGAAACTTATTTGAATATACCCTCTCTGAGCTTCTAAAGAAGGCATATACAGACTAGCATCAAACTAAGTGGCTCCTTTAGTTATTTGTTGCTAAGCCCAGTGGGATTACCATGATGCCCTGTCACTAGATTGCAAAGTCTTTGAAGCTCCAGAATGTGCTACATCATAGGCATGCGTGATAGAGGCTATTAGAACTCATTCAAGATCTGTGTGAATTGTTTTTCATTGAAATGACCCCTGGAAATGCTACTGTTGTTGAAATTTTTCCATAAAGCTATACCAATGAAATTCAACATTATGTCTCAAATGTCAGTAGACCATATAGCCTAGTCATAAAGAACGTGAACTCTAGATAGAGAGACTCTAATTTGAGAATTCCATTTATCCTGACTCTCCTGTGACCTTGGGTATGTTATTTAACTCTTTACCTTACCAGTTTCTGATCTCCACAGTGGAAAAGTATGTCTTTTTCAAGGGAGTTTTGCAACAAATAAATGGAATATATGTGTAATGCTTAGCTTATTGTTGATGGGTCTGTGGGTTTTACTACTGTGGTATTAACAGTATGCACTTTATAGAATTTTACTTTCTTATTGTAAAATGACACTGGAAACTGTGGAGGCTTTTTCTAAGGTTCAGAGCATTTAAGTAACTTGAGCAACATCACAGAGCTGGTGGAAAGCCAAGTTATAACTGATACCTGGCCTCTGTGGCCCTAGAATAATTGTTTTGTTTTGTTTTGTTTTTCTTTCTCTATAAATCACTCTGGCTCTCGAGCAACAAGCTCAGCACCTGTCTCCATGAAGCTGCAGTAGCCAATCTGTGCCAAGTTTGATTGAAAATAAATTCATCACAATGGTTATCTTAGAGTCCTGGACACTGAAGTAAACATTCAGAAATTATACAGATTGGTGCGGCAACTCGGGCATGATGCTGTGTTATTGCACACAGAACAGTTGTGATGTGTTTGACATGGCATTTTGTTTAGAGTCACCAAGCAGATCATGGAATAAAATTCTAGACACAAGATTTAAGATGATAAGATGGTTATCTACAGATTCCAGATGGGGTTGTCCTTGGAGAGCTGTCCTGACCTCCATGTGAACACTCTTCAATCAAGGGAGAATGTCTTGACAGCTCTGAACCTCCACCCCGTTTTACTCGGAATCCCTCATCTTAGTCTTCTCCACTCAGCTTCTTTGTTGCTCACACAGTGAGTAATTCAAGGTTTTACATGGCCTGAGGTGACAAGCTGGGTTAGGAGGAGAAGGTGATAGGATCCAGAGACAGTGCTTTTCATAGCCAGACACCCACTATTTACCTTGAGTCACCCTTTTCCCTCATACACCATTCTTGGACCAGAATCTACTTGGCTGCTCCCAGAACAGCCTAGTAAGTTTCATTTCCTGCTATTCTTCTCCCTTAATATCTTTGTTTTAGAATTCCAGAGGCTGACACTCAGTTTGGCAAAGATGGATTTATGAAGGAGTTGGATTAATATTCTTGGAAACTCCATGAACTAAGAATTGAAAGAAACAGACATTTTAAGATATCATTTTCCCAGCATAGTTTATAAAATAATGAAGCTATAAAATATACCTTTCTCTCTTGTTTTTCAGATAGACCACATGGTGCAGGGCCATGCTGCTTTCCCTGAACTACAAGCCAAGGCCACAGCTAGGTAACTGCTCTTTCTGTTACCCTACTATCTTTATTTCCATAGGAGCATGGAAGGCATTCAGTGTGGTCAATTTCGTGTTCTTAAGGTACTTAGTTATAAGGTAATAATCCAAATGATGAAGACTGTATTTGTGTTCATCATAAAATCATCCCAGAGAACATAGAGACTCCTCAAGAATATACCCCATGGCCAGGATATGCAACTGTGTCATAAAGGGACCTTGAATTTTGGAATCAACATCTGAGCACATGTCCCACTTTCACATCTTTCACATTTTAGTATTTATGTGACTTTGAGCAAATTATTTCACCTTTGAAAGTTTCTCCTCAGCTATAAAACTAAGTATAATTGCTGATATGAATATGTTAAGTAAAGAAAGTTGAGTTCTATGGAGTGCTTATAGTGTGTTCTGTTTCATGTAAGAAGAAATGATATATTAGAAAATGTTTGTCAATTCATTTTTGAAAGAGATATGTAAAATTAAGCAAGTTCATGAGAGTGGTTACCTACAGAGGATGGTTGAAAATGAACAAAAAGCATAGGGTGATGAGAATGGGACAGTAAAAATATAACTTGTTACACTAAAGTCTTAGAATTATAGTGAAACAACATGCTTCCTACTAGAAATAAACAGTAATTGGATATGAAGTAGGGATTGGACAAAATGAAATATAAGTAGTGATAAATTAATATATTCTATTAAGTAGTTTCAGAAGTTCATGGTAAATAGAACTGAAAGTTAAGTTTATTTCAGTCCAAACATATTTTAAAATCTGTGAACAACATTTTTATAATATGTATTTTCCAAGAACTTTTTGAAGATTACAAATGAATATTATCTCTTATTACATGAATATCATAACCATATTAAAGGAGCCTTGGGAAACAGAAGAACTTGTGAAAGTTATTTTAAGAATATTTTGAGAATATACACCCTGGCAAAAGATAAAATAATTACACTCTAGTATTTTACTCTTCATAGCTATACAAGTTAACCATTCTGAAAACCTTTCTGTGTACACTATAACTGTGCAATAAAGCAATTATCTTGAATAATGAAAGCCGGATTTTTCACAAATGCTACTCCTGGCACAGGTGAGTGAGTCCCAGGAGGAGTTCACATCAGATTTTGCAGCCAGGTTGTCTGTCTCTCATCCACAGCCCTTATTTGATGTGTGACCCTGGGAAGTTTGCTTAACATCCTTGGTTTGGGTATCTCATTGTAAAAGGAAATAATGATAAACACCTCAGATGCTTAGGGTGAAAATTTAAAAAGAATTAAGAGTTGAAGCTAGCCTTTAGTGTTGATCAACTACCAAGCTATGGTAAGTGTTCATAGTAATACTGGTAGGAATAGAAATTATTGTTGTAATTTTAGTAAAGCATGTTATACATTTCCATTCCACCAAGTTTCTAAGTAGGAGGGACACACTTACTCAGAGCAGCACTTGTATATAGGCAGTATGTTGTCAGGGTATTGAAAAATAAAATTCATCCTGGTCAGTTATTTGAGAAGCTAAATAATATTTCCCTTGTTGCAGTCACTAATCGCAACTGTTAGAGAGGTTACATCACGTCATCTCATCAGTTAGCACTCTTAGAGACTACAGAACCTAGAAGGATGGCATTCCTGCTTCAAATCATCAGGAAACCCTTAAAATTGTGCACAAAGTCTTGTTGATTATGTTTTTATGCATCTATTTCTATGAAGAGGTACCTAATTCTCATCATATTTTTGAAAGGAGCCAATATTTATAAAACAATGATTCAAGGAAGAAGTGTTCTTAGACTTGGAATTCAGAGATCTAGATTGAAATCTGAGCTTCAGCTTTAGCACTGTATAATCTTGATTTCCTCAGCATGATGTGAGATAGTAGCAGCAATGAAGCCAGAGATAATGCTGCTGGGCTTTGAAACTAAATTGAGATAATAATGTCTCCTCCTCATGTTGTCATTGCTAATGATTATAGAAAAGGGGGAAATTTTAATGATGTGGCTCTATCATCAAATAGCAGATTTATTCATCCATATCCCAGCCTCCTACCTGTAGAAGATGTGGAGGAATTGCAGGATTATTCCAGTGGGAATTACAGGTCTTAGGTTCTCCTACAAGCTCTTTAATGAATACTTGTGTCCTTCAGCTTCCTTACCAAAAAAATACAAACTACTCTGCTTAACAGGTGTTATAAGAATGAAAGCCATATGGAAATGTCAGTATGTAAGGATTTTGATGCTCAACACAAACTTAATGACTACAGTTAGATTTTGAATTCAATGCTTAATGACATGAAATATTCAAAACTCTCAGAGCATTTTTTTTTATAGAGGAACTTGCATGCTGTTGTTTTTAGTGAAAGTAGAAAGGAAGGAAAGATTCATGGGCTAGTATGCAAACTCACAGAAACACTGGTGTTAGGTACTCTAAAAGAAGACATTGACACATTTCAGTCTGTAATTCAACACTGGATTTAAGCCTCATATTCTCTTCACACTACATCCTCATAGATCTCCTTCCCATCCAAGCTAAGTTTCTCCAAAGTACTGCCTGTGGCACACACCATGTGCCAGTTTGGCTTGGAACTGTCTGAAAGCAGCAATGCAGGTCAGCCCTGCCTCAGAGATTAACATCAGCAAATTGTGTTTGAAGCTGTAGAAACAAGTGAGATTAAACAGATGGAGTATTTTATCTTCATGTTGTATTATAATCCTTTCAGACCTCATCTCTGAAGAGACATGTTTTGAGGGCTTATAAATTAAATAAACAGTGCCTAAAAATGTGCCCATACAAGTAACTGGCAATCAAATTCTGTCTATGTATGGGCCAAATATGCAGCTGTTTTCACTTCACAGCCAGAGATCACGTTATGCGATCATACTGATCATAACATCATCTTGTTGTCCTCAAGGTGCACATTATTGTTCCAGTCTCTTATAGCTCCTTAACTACCAGTGTCTCTGACACTGGTTCTTGTGACAGCTGGGTGTGGAGAAAAGATGTTGCACAATCCACAAATGCTAGATTGAACGTTGGCAGCAGACCCACGGTTAAACCCAGGTCCGCTAAACACCTGACCTGACTCCCAACTTTCTTATTAGCACTTATGATATAAGAGTGAACAAAGTACAGCAAACCTTTGATTTGATAGAATCAAATTTGATAGGCACACACATATACCTACAATTCAAGTGCATATCATAAAGGAACTTCAAATGTTCATGGATGGCCCAACATGGTAGCCTAGTGGCTGAAGTACTCACCTTGCATCCACTGGGATCCTTTATGGGTGCCAGTTTCTCTCCTAGCTGTTCCACTTCCCTTCCAGCTCCCTGCTTGTGGCCTGGGAAAGCAGTTGAGGATGACCCTAGGCCTTGGGACCCTGCATCTGTGTGGAAGAGCTGGAAGAAATTCTTGGCACCTGACTCCTACGTTTGGATCAGCACAGCACTGGCCCATTGGGGAGTAAATCTGTGGCTGGAGGATTTTTCTTTCTCTCCTTTATTCTGTAAAGCTGCCTTTCCAATAAAAATAAATAAATCTTAATGCAAAATTCATGGAAAGATTATATTTTGTGTAAAACAATTTGAAATCTATGCATAACGTACCAGAATAAGCTTTTTCCATGAACTTTTTGAAGACCCTTTGTATAGTGCAAAATTGGTACATATTCTATAGGAAAACAGAGATGAGTAAAAAGATGTAGAGTAAGCAATGCTGAAATGTATAATGGGAATTATTCCAGGTAGGGAAACTGTCCATAGTTGGGTTAGAGTTGAACAGGACTTTGAGTGAATGGAAGGAAGTAACTATAGTTCTTTGGGGAAAATTCTCCAGATGTAAGAACTGCAAATCTCAAGGCCTGGAGACAGCTTGGTAAGCTCAAGAAACAGCATAGAGGCCATGGTGGATGGGCCCAAGTGAGAGGGAGTGGGAAGCATAATAAGGCTGAAACTCAGCAATGGAAAAGACTGGTCAGGTCATTGTAGATAACTGTACATAGACAGTGGGTGTTATTCAGAATTTTAGTATTTAAGTTAAGGAAAGACACACTTTGATTGATCTCCTAAAATAATTCCCTTTATCACTCTATAAAGAATAAACTGGAATGAAAAAGATAGGGTAGGAAGAAAAGATAGTTGTCGTCCTTGGTATTACCTGAGCATATCCAAGCATTCCACTGGGCAAAAACATCTGTAAAAAGAAGAGCCCAGGCTAAGATTAGGTTTTTACAGAGTGCTGAAGTCATCACTTAGAATACCTACATTCTGTATTGCTATCCCTAGGTTTCAATCTCAGCTTTGGTTCAGACCCAGGTTCCCTCTAATGTACAACTTGGGTAGTCAGCATATGATGGATCAGGTATTTGGGTCCCTGGTACCCACATGGAAATATGAGAGCTATATTGAACCGGGTCCCTGGCCTCAGCCTGGCCAGACATGGTTGTTCCATATATTTAGGCAATGAAGTAATGAAATCACAATCCCTTTCTCCCTCCCCCACTCTCTTTCCCTCTCTTTCCTCTTTCCTCACCTAATTGGATAAGTGACCAAATATTTTTAAAGAAGAAAAGGCCCAGGTCAGCGTCATGCTTCAATTGACTAATCCTCCACCTGCATGTGTAGGCATCCCACATAGGCACCAGTTTGTATCTTGCCTGCTCCACTTCCCATCTAGGTCCCTGTTTTGGTCTTGGAAACCAACAGAAGATGGCCCAAAGCCTTGGGACACTGCATCTGTGTGGGAGACCCAAAAGAAGCTCCTGGCTCCTGGCTTCAGACAGGCTGGGCTCTGGCTTTTATGGCCACTTGGGGAGTGAACCAGCAGATAGAAGATCTTTTTCTCTGTTTCTCTTTCTCTTGGCAAATCTACCTTTCCTATAAAAATAAATAAATCCTTAAGAAGAGAAAAAGAATGTTTTCTGTTCTACTAATGCCTTTATTTTTCCTCTTAGACTATTTTTCCCATAGTCCACAGATTTTTCAGGTATCCCTTTGAAAATAATCCGTTTTTCTTGATGTGATCTAATCTTAAAACCTCCTATTCTTTCATTATTCCCACATCCCACTAACAATCAATTTCTTAATATTCACTAGTCCTGTTTTTGCCAAGGCTCAGATACAATTAAAGCTTGCCATTAAAGTCTGTACAAATTTGCCGTAAGGAAGAAAGGAAAAAGAAAGTATAAGAAAGTCTCTCTGTGCTTTGTGATCATCTTGCATAAATTATCTCACTGAATTCTAGATGAAGAAATGAGGACTTGTATTGGTTATTCTCCCTTTCCATTCTACCCTTGGGTTCTAAGTTGCCTATCTTTTCCTTTACAACTTTTTAAATTTCAGTACCACAGTCTCGTAACTGTGGCTATTGGTCCATCACCACATACTCACTTTGACTTGCCTGAGCTAGCACAATCACAGAACCAAGGTGTTGATATTATCATCTTTAATCTCCTGGCATATACAGGGATACTAAATGAGTTCTTGATTGTGCCCAAGCCAAAAGCGATTGCCCTGAGCTGAAACTAGCTGGATGTTATTTTTTAAAGATTTAACATTTAATTTATTTGAAAGGCAGAGTTACACAGAGAGAGAATCTTCCATCTGCTGGTTCACTTCTCAAAATGGCTGCAAAGACAAATCATAGAAAATATATACCTTATCTAACATTTTTATTTGAATTGACTTGAAATATCTATGGAAGGGACATGAGATGGATGGTTGGGTACTCAACATGAAATTCATGAGAGAAAACTATGCAGAATATTAAGGCATGTGTTTGAAAGTGCTAGATGATAAATGGAGTCATAAAAGCAGATAGAATTAACCAATGACATATAATGTAAGTACCAAAGACAGGTTCCTAGAAGCCTTAAGATGTTTACAAGAAAGAAAAAAAAAAAAGCAATGGGAGAAGTCTAGCTTTTAAGGTAGTAGAAAGGTCCAGAAATGTTAGTGTTCTGGAAACAAGAGAAAGACAACAAATGACGAAGTAGTCAGGTAGTAAAAGTACAGAAAATGACCCAACAAAGTTAACCAAAAAGAGGGCATTACTCCCCACACCAGAACCAGTTTTAGAATGGGACAGACAAAATGCATATTGAGTTGAGTTTTGAAGTAAGGAACTTCAAACAGTGTGCATGCTTTTTTCATCAAGATGTTCTATTATTGATAGAAAATAAATGGTTGTTTTTGTTTTCTCTTGTATTTGGATTTTTCATTTTCAGTAATGATCTACTCTATTACAAGACAATCCATGAGTCTAACAATTAAATGTATATTCATACTTAATATGCTGTGCACATAGTATTAGAACATTTCAGGGGGAAAAAAGTATTTCTTTTTTAGAAAACAATGTCAGGTGAGGGCAAAGGAGAGGGAGGTAATTACCAATCATTTATTGTTTTTTAGTGTTTGGACCTCTGTATTTAATCTGCCTAGCATCCTGCTTCACTTACAAAATAGTTGATTAAGCTAAAACAGGGTTAGTGTATCTGATAACCCGGATAGTACATAATGAAGTCACTTAATGATTCTTGAAATGATATTTGCCTCATCATTCCAATGGAGACTTGGACAGCAATAATTTCTCCCTCCAAAACAGGACATATTAGCCTGGAGTTCTTGAGAGGAAAGAAGCAGCCACTTGGGATCACAGTATTCACATGTGACTCCCTAGCTAGAAGAGGTCAGGCTGCCATTGGAAAAGGAATTGATAAAACATACAAATGATACAAAATCCACACCAAAAAAGGGCATCATACAAAGTTAAAATTATGTGAATAATGATGTGCATTATTTATTTTAATGCCTTCCAAGTGCATATCATTTTGAATGATATACTCAGATAGCACACATGTTATGGTATAATTGAAAAAACATGTAGGGCAATGGCTGCATTCAAAGAATGAACATACAGCTGCAAGGAGGTTAGGAGTCAAAGGATTAAGCATATGACCCATCCTCCAGGGATCTCATTAATGCACAAGTGTCCATATATGTAGAAGCTGAATGAGTCTCCCGGTTTGTGAAGATCCACGGTAAATGAGACAACAATGAATCAATAGTAATTAGGTCTCTAGGTTCTTATTGATCCAGATGTCTGAAACCAAATTCCCTGCTCTCAGATTCCTTGAGAGGCAGAATGGAAAGATTGATAGATTTGCATTTCCTTAAAAAATAAAAGTCTTTAAGAACAGTGATGCTATTCCAAATTAGAAAGTTGCTGGAGTTCACGCATACTCTTGGCTTCTGGCTAGAAAAGATATTCTGGTGACTTTTGCTATATATGGGATTTTTCTTGAACGAGAAGCAGGGAAAAAAGAGAGACTAACTCAGGATGTGATCATATTGTGTCCCTAGCTATTATCCTTTTCCATTTAGGCCTCCATGTGTCCTTTCCAGAAGCCACAAAAGAACCATTACAAATGAGGGTTTCAGTGAAGAACTTTGATAGTCATGAGATACAGCAGCCCTTAGCATTATGGAGAATTACATGTCTGAGCATCTTCTGTGTAAGAGGATGTTAGTAATACTTCCCTCTCAAGCAAGAGGTGAAAGGTCTAGTAAATATGCAAAATGGCAGCTGCTTTTGCTACGGTTATTGCGCCTTTTCCCAAAAGAACTTTATTCAAGTTTATTTAGTTCAAGGCGAGGACATTAGCCACTAGGCCACGCCGCCGGGCCCTTAAATACTTTTGTTTTATAAGTATCTTAGCTCAGGTATTTTGTTATAGTAATGAAAGGGTGACTAATACACATTATACACAAATAAATGTACACATTTTCATACCCTCATTACTGAGAAGGTTTTTATATTTTTTAAATTGGAGGCCCATGTAAAATTTGCATTTACCAAATGAACTCCATTTGAAATGTGGGAAAAAAAGTTTACAAAACACTGCTCCACTTGTTTGTTTTGTTTTGCTTTTCTTATTTGAGAGGCAGATAAATACATAGAGAGAGAGAGTGAGTTCTCATGTGCTGGTTACCTCCCTCAAATGCCCAACATGCCTGCGGCTGGCAAAGCCAGAACTCAACCCCAGTCTCCCATATGATGGCAAGCATGGAAGCACTTGGGCTGCTCTCTGCTACCTCGCGGGTTCTGTATTAGCAGGAGAGTCGGTTTAGGAGTCAGGACTGGAACTGAAGCCCAGGCACTCTGATAGGGGATGTAGACATCTTAGCTGACAACTTGACCCCTTGGCCGGATACCTGCCTGTTCATTTGTCTTCTTATATTTGGGTTAGGAAACTTCCAGGAAATTATAGATCCACAGGGACATTCATAGCATTGCAAAACTAAAGCTAGAAATTGTTGAAATTTTAAAGCAGAAAATGAAAATCATAAATATTGTCTTAGGTATCTTAGACATTAACCTCATTCGACATTGAGTTCCTATACTTTTTCCTACCATTTATCAAACCATACTTTTAACCTCAGAGCTGTAAGTCCCAAACCATATTTTTAATGAAGAGCTGTAATCCCAAGAACACCTGTGGAGAATGGCACAAATGCTAATCTCAGAGTTATTCACTTTCCTTTATAATCATTGGTTGACAACTATGAGAAGGCAGTGCCTTTTAAAAAGGGCAGGCTAACCAACTTTCGTCTATGTGCCATGTGCTGAGATTGAGCCTAGTGAAATAGGAATTATTATACTTGTTATGAATGGGAAAACTAAATTTGGAGAGATTACGTCACTGGCTTATGTTATCCAGCTAGGATTGGTAGAACTAAGGTTTAATTTAGCTACTCTTCATTTCCAAGCCCCATCATCTTCTTTTTCTGTTCTTGAACATATGAAAAATGGCAGAGTTGGTCTGATGGAAAGAAATGGAGGCTTACAAAAGCAAAAGAACTTACACAATGTCATTTCATGGGTTAAGCTTGGAAATCATATATGTAACTGTTGACTCCATTTGCATTATACATTTCCTTTCCTTAGCAAACTCCTAACCTGAATCCAGGAACTTTCATTTGTCTCCACTGTCATCCCATCTTATTATTACAATTAGGCATACTGATTATAATAAATCCTTTACATATGTACGGTATTGTGAAGGTTACAAAATGCTATGTCTTTGTGTATGTAATCGTCTTTGATCTTCACCAATCCGTATGAGGTAAGTGAACGGGGATTATGATATCTGTTTTTACAGATGAGAATGGGCTGGTTGCATACCTCCAAAGAGTAAAGTCATTCCTGGACCCTCTCTGGATTCCAGCCCTGTCTTTCCACTAGGACATGCCATTTCTTCTTGGTGACAGTGCATTGTGATTTGAGCATATTTCTAGTTTTTCTGACTTTGGCATAGTTTCTTTCCTATCAGGAAACTGATTACTTTCCCTGATTTGATAGAGAAACAGAATGGTTTCTTTCTATAGCACAATCTGCTCCCTGACCCTAGCCCCCTTTTAAAAACAAAATCCATTTCTCTTGCAGTTGCCAGAGTGTATATGCATATTTGAACAGTCACCTGGATCTGATTAAGAAGGCTCAGTCTGTGGGTTTCCTCACTGTTGATTTGCATGTTTGGCCAGATTTCCATGGCAACCGGTCTCCCTTAGCAGATCTGACACTAAAGGGCATGGTAAGTAACTTGCATAAAGTCAGTCTTTGCATGAAGGTGAAGGGAGAACAAAGTGCTCCAAAGTTTGGAAGAAGCAAAGAAAAGAGAATGAGAAAGAGGAAAATGGAACAAAACAGGCCAATATTTGTTGATGCACTGCTATTATGAAGGCCACTATGGTGGTTCCCGGGATAAACATCTGAAAGTTCCCACTGCTCAAACAATCTTAAGAGTATTGAAAGCAATATTTCAGCTACTGCTCCCCCTGTGTTGTGAAGTAGCTGAAAGTTTTGCCTGTATAATTTTTGCATTTATGTTGTTTTTTAAAGTTTTGTTTTCCATCTCCCTCTCCAGGCTGCCCAGTCCAACAGTGCTAAATATTGCCACCCAGGCCCCTGCTTGCTACAGCTACACATCTGCCTGAGCCCTGAGTCTGTAGTAATGTAACTTAGGATTTGGTGTTAATTTTAGTAATATTAAATGCAATTAGTAACTTTCATTGGGTCATAAAGTTCGTTTTTAGTGAACTTTGGGGAGTTACTTCACTGTGTGGTGATGTTAAGCCTTCCTAAATGGACCAGGCTGAGTTCAACATTTAACATCATGGACACTAGGCAAGTCTGAGTGACTGGGAGTATCCTCCAATTGGAGGATGGAGGAAACATGTTAAAGACACAAAGTTAACAGGTTGGCATTGTGCCATATCAGGTTTACCTGGCATTCAGCAGCAGCATTCCATAAAGGCATCAGTCCATATCCTGGCTACTCCACTTCCTAGCCAACTCTTGGCCAGCAGCTTATGAAAAGCAGTGGAAGTTGATTTCATGTTGGTGCCCTGCCACCTGTGTTGGAGGTCTATAAGAAATTCCAGGTTTCTGGCATAAGCCTGGTTCAGCCTTGGCTATTGTAACCATCTGGGGAATAAACCAGGGTATACATGAAAATTCTCTCTCTCTTTCTCTCCCTGAATTATGCTATCTCTGTAATACTGGCTTTCAAAAAATAGCTAAATAACCAAAAACATGAAGTGCTAAGCTAAACTTCAATCTTGAAGGGCTAAGTAGGATCACTCACAAGAAAGTCATTCATGATGTGGATTGGAACAAGACTCAATGTACTTTGATTTTGTAGTTAATTTTATTGAGATTATTTTAATATTTTTATGATAGTGATAGGAAGAATTGAATTTTATTTTTATTACCTAAATGACATAATCAATTTTTGCTGATAAAAGTGAGTCATGGTTTTAAAAAAAAAAGAAACGAAATTGGACATAGAAAGAGTTATGAGAGTCTTGAATCCAGAAAGCATGATAAGAAAACAGTCATGAGTAGGCATTCTTATTTGACCTGTAGAGGTAGAAAAGCAATGTCCAGAAAGGCTCATGTGGCCATAGACCATAACCAGGAAGCCATGCTTTCAGACAGCTAACTCGGTGTAATCAGAAGGTAGAAGATAAGCACATTTTGCCTGGATATAAATTCTTAATAACAGAAATATCTGAGATCAACTACAGTTAGATACTGAAAATGGTAAGGAAGTTAAACAGACCCAAAGCACAGTGGGTTTGCATAATTAAATGATCACAGCTTTGGGGCCACCCAGGCCTAAGAGGTTTCCTTGCTAATATCCCCTTACCTAGCTTTAATAACAAAAATATCACACACCATGTATCCAAATCCCTTTGTCTTGTTTCTAGCCTCCAAGGACCTATGAGTTACCAGTTTAAGATATGCCTGAGGCCTGGCATGATGATTCAATTGGCTAATCCTCTCCTGGCACCAGTACATGTCCTGGCTGCTCCACTTCCCATCCAGCTCCCTGCTTGGGGGCCAGGGAAAGCAGGTGAGGATGGCCCAAAGCTTTGGGACCCTGCACTGCTTGTGACGCATAGAGAAAGCTCCTGGCTCCTGGCTTTGGATTGGCTCAAATCCAGCTATTGTGGTCATTTGGGGAGCTAACCAGTGGATGGGAGATCTTTCTGTCTCTCCTTCTCCTTGTAAATCTGCCTTTGCAACAAAAATGAATAAATTTTTTAAAAGATTTATTTATTAATATTAGAATATCAGATATACAGAGTAAAGGAGAGACACAAAGGAAGATCTTCTGTTCACTGATTCACTTCCCAAGCGGCCACAATGGCCAGAGCTGTGCCTATCCAAAGCCGGAAGTAAGGAGCCTCTTCCAAGCCTTCCACAGGATTGTAGGGTCTCAAGGAGTTGGGCTGTCCTCAACTGCCTTCCCAGGTTGAAAGCAGGGAGCTGGATAGGAAGGGAGGACGCCAGGATTAGAACCAGTACCCATATGGGATCCCGGTGCTTGCTAGTGGAGGACTTTAGCTGCTAGGCTACCGTAATGGACCCACAATGAACAAATGTTTAAAAAAATTATGTCTAGGGCCTGGTGCGATAGCGTAGTGGTTAAAGTCTTTGCCTTGCATGCCTGGGATCCTATGTGGGCACTGGTTCTAATCCTGGCAGCCCTGCTTCCCATCCAGCTCCCTGCTTATGGTCTGGGGAAGCAGTCGAGGATGGCCCAAAACCTTGAGACTCTGTACCGACGTGGGAGACCCGGAAGAGCTCCTGGCTCCTGGTTTCGGATTGGCTCAGCTCCAGCTGTTGTGGCCGCTTGGGGAGTGAACCATTGCAGAGAAGATCTTCCTCTCTGTCTCTCCTCCTCTCTGTATATCCGCCCTTCCGATAAAAAATAAATAAATAAATCTTTAAAAAAAAAAAGAATATGTCTAGAGTAGATGATTCATTCAGAATGTTACTACAAAGGATTTAATAGAGTTTTTTCAGGAATGCCTATCTCATTAGAATAAACATATACTTATTTAATGGGACATCTTGTATGTGGACTTGTGCCCAACTATGTGTAAAAATCCTGGAATGTTTACTTCTCTAAAAATTGTTTTGTTATAAATACAACTCAAATATCACTTGGTATTTCCCATTGGTGATTTCTCTTTAAAACTATCCTTGGGTGAGTCTCACATAGGAATAGCTTTCACTCCATGAGTTTACCACCATAATAATAAAAAGAAATGGTAATCAAACAATGTAGAAGAAAGGGAATTCTGGGTTTAAAAAATCGCCCCCAAATCTCTTTCCTTCAGTCCAATTTGAATAACACAAAAATTATTTCCTCAAACTTCTTCTATTATTGTGTTATTCCTTTTTCAGAAGCTACATTGTACATATTATATGCTGGAACCCATAACAGTTTTACCTGTTATATCTTACTGCCAGCCCTATATCAAACACTTACTAGTCATTGGTTACCTAGCAGTGCCACACACTGCTACAAACAGAATAAGGTACAGTAATTCCTACACACACAGCATGTGTGAAGAAGCAGCAATTGTTGAGTAAATGTTAATAGCAACTAGAATTGTCAAGATGATCCCAGTATGACAATAGCAGTTTATAGTTGCTTTGTTTCTTTTTAAATTTTTTTTTAAGCTCCTGAGATGTTTCTCTAAACACTTAATGAGCACTTAGATGTACTTATTGCTAATTTTGGGGCAACATGGAATTAACATATTGTTTCTTTAGAAAAGTAATCATATAAATAATTTACTCAAATCCAGTGGATTAAATGTATACTGACTCTTACTATGAGTACATTTTTGCATCAAATGGGTGCAGGCCCTGTTATAGTTGGTGTCAAAGGACAAAGTAAATTCAGTGTATGGTGGTTGCCACCGCAATCTGTGATGCCAATCATCTTTGGAGGAGGAAAGCTTTATTCTTGCCCCAAAAGGTAACAGGGGAAATGGATCAAACATGACTCCCTAACTTAGGTTTCTGTGGGAGCTTTTGAGTTAGGTAGGAGGCTGCTGGTATGTAAAAACACTGGAAAGGCATGTGCTGATTGTACGGACTTAGAATCAGTCTGGCCCACACAGTGTTATCATGGATAATAACTTTCGTAAGAAAGCAAGGACTTTAAGAGGCAGTACAGTATCAACAGGAGATATAAGTTGTTAGACATAACCCCAGCTCTCAAGCATGTTTCTATCTTTGGGAGCAGTCACTATATATAAATGTGCAACAGAAAGTTGGGATCAAGCTCCAGGTATCACTCATGGCCAAGGCTCTTCAGATGTGGGAAGGTAATTGCTCAACCCTAGCAGCCAGGAAATGCTTCAGACAGGAAGTCAGCCCTGAGAGAGGAAGGAAAGAGGATTTGTGTTTAGTGTCCTGGAGGAGAGAGGGCGATAAGGTCGTAAGAGTTAAAGTCATGGGAATGTCTTAACTGAATAGCCAATGACGGATTATATCTAGCATTTAACTAGGGCATAAAGAAACCTCTGGACATTTGGTGGACCCCTACGCAGCTGCATTCTGCTTTCACACTTCTTTCTCTTTCCTTTTTTGACTCGTCTCTCATCTCTTCTCAGTATCCGTCCACTCAGTGCATTTCTATTGAGTCCAAACATTTGCAAATTATGGAACACAAAGACACATACTCAAAAAAATTACCTAACTTCTCAGAGAATGGCCTACGGAATTGTATCCTAAAATAAAAACAAAATAAAATGATAAGATAAAATAAAAATTAAAATGAAGAAATTTCTCAGAAAAGGAAGAAGACAGTCGCTATGTGTAGGAAGATGTGTGCATCTATTTCCTATAGACAGTTATGCAAGACAAGTAAGGGCTAAGTACACACCTGACTTTTGTATTTCTTGTTGAGTGGCATTTGGCCAGCAAACCCTGATGCTACCATCCTCTGCTCACACAACAGTACCTGAGAAGAGGCAAACAAGAAGTTCAGTTTCAAAGTTCCTTCTGCCATGACCTGGTCCCTGTCTTTTCTTCCACTTGGTTTCTTTTGGAAGCTGACAGCCCAAGAAATCAGCTGGGCAGGAAGCACAAGTTATGATGAACCATGATGGCTTCTTTGCCCCTTTTACTTTCTGAGTGAAATTCTTGCTTCTGGTGCAGAGATAGGAGAAAGTTTAGCATCTGTGATTTTGTAAAAGTGTGTAGTTTTACACTGTTCTATGGTTCTGG